AATTGTCCATTTGTGACTTTCCCATAGCCTTTCACTTGACACTTGTGATTATTCCCAAATTTGACTACTCCTGCATTTTCCAAGCTTCTATAATCTCGCAAGTTTTCCTTTCTTCCAGTCATATGACGAGAGCAACCACTATCAATATACCATTTCGTATCATATTGCTCGTCACACATCACCTGTATTTATTGGAAAATTTTAGGAACCCAAGACTTGTGGGTCCATCATTAGTAGAATTAAACAAATTCTTTGAATTTAAAAACCATGTTTTTACTTTGTTTGTGACAGAATCCATTATATCAACATCATCAAATCTAGATATTGAAATATAGTCGTTCAATAGTTTTGGATTTCCATTGACTGTAATCTTATCCTTCACAACATTCGTATTTTTGATAACTGGTTTTGCATTTTTGAACCAGAACTTGCGAATGATGAGATGATGAACTAGCAGTGGAAGAGTTATTTGCGAACTTGTCAAATGCATTCTTGATTTGTTGCTCTGAAAACTTCCCACTTTGATATTTTCTTCCTTTCCCTTCAAACCAACGATTGATTGTACTTACATCAGATTTTCCTTTTGTATATGAAACTTTGGTCGGTTTTGAGACTGAAGGATTTGGAAAATTTGGTTGTTTTGGTGAAAATTTCACTTTTGCTTGAGTTGAATTTTTCAAACTTGATGAAGTATTAGTGAAATTGCCAACATTTTGAAACTTTTGATTATTTACAAATTTTTGCGAATTCTCAAATTTTCAATTGTTGTCATATTTGCGAACATTTGGAATTTTGTCAACATAAATTATTGGGTTATGAAAACTTGAATCTGTTTGTTTATTTTTGCTTTGAAATTTTGATGATGTTGTTTTTGAAATTTGTTCTTTTTCAGCTCTTGGTTTGTCATTTGACACAACTTGTAGAAAATTGCTTTTCTTGCTTTTCTTTTTGAAACATTATTTTCTATTGAATAATTTCCAACCATCAATTTGAATTCATGAGAATTTAATTTCACTTCAGCCTTTGGTTTTTCAACTTTTTCAAAAACTTTGTTTGGTTTTTCACCTTTAACCACCCATTTTTGTAATGATTTTTGTTTTTGAAACACATAAGAATTTTGAGTTAAATTGTTTCTTCTGTGTTTTGATTTGCGAAAAAACCTTCAGTGGTTGACTTTAGATTATTTTTTTCAATCATTTTGTAAAATTCAAGATGAATTTTCTCAGCATTTCCAGTAGTGACAAAATTTTGATTTGCAAAAATGGTTTTATCAGTGCATACAAAATTTGGATATACCACAGTGTTGGTTTCCAAATAATATACGGCTTTGTCATTTAAAATTTTGTCAAATTCTTTTGTATTCTCAAACACTTGATTAACCACAACTCGTGGAGGTATTTCATGTGAATTTTTCACTTCTTCTTTGTTTTCTTCATTATCATCAGATTTCCAGCTTTCAACATCCACATTCTCAAACTTACAATATTGCAAAGTTGAAGGTTTATCAATTTCATCCTCTATTATCGAATCAACAATAATTTCTTTACCTTTGATCTTAGATGTGATATTAATGATTGACAATTGAGAACAATCAACCTCTTCTTCCTCTTTTATCTCACTGATTTCACTCACATTATCTGAATTATCATCAATATCAGTAAAATTGAATTGAGAGGCAAGAGTTGAAGTTTCTGTTTTCTTTAAGATTTTCACTTGTTCACTCTTTGTCAAACTTTCATTGACAATATTAACCAACTCATCAGCATTCAGAAATTCATCAATTTTGACAATACCATATGGATATCTATCATCAGGTATTTTGTCAAATTGAGCAATTGTACTTTCGCAATCATAAGAAACAACATCAACTTTTTCACGTTCATACTCAAGAAAAGGTAAACGTTTCCTATGTTGTTCTTTGCTAATGTCAGAAGAATGGTGTAAAGCAGTTAATTTTGCATACAATCATTTGGCAGAATTACAATATATGTTCCTTTGTGCTAGCAACAACCTAACATCATTTGTAAGATTATTCCTATCACAATCAACATTTTTGATCTGCATTTCAAGTTTATCTACTCTGCTCCTTTTTATTTCTAATTCTCTTTGTGTCTCACCTAGTTGCATATTTAATTTTTGAGCTTCAATACTAGCAGACACAATAACAGAATCAAAATAAGCCACAGTATCATCAAATGAAATGATTTCAGCATCATAAGCAGATAAAGGAATATTAAAAGATTCAAGTATCGCACGTACCTTGGTGGTCATGGGTGATTTGTCCATGGATTTGGATACAAAACATTTCCCTAAAATGTCCTCTTCGCAATCTTCAAAACTTGCGAACATGGCTCCATGTGTAAAATGCCTCATTTCTTCATCATCAGATCCTGATGACCAGATCTGATATGTTCCACTCTCTTCATCAGCAGATTCACCATTCGCAGCTAGAGACACTCCTTTTGTCTTAGCGCGCAATTCTTCAATCTTTTCAGAATAGTATGCCTCATCTTTAATTTTTTTTTCTTTCTTTTCTTCTTTCTTTCGCAACATGCAATCGGCTGCGAAGTGATTCGCACCATTGCAGTAGTGACAATAGATTCCTGAGTCACCTTTCAGCTATTTCACTTCTTTCGCATCTTTTTGTTTCTCATCAGCTTTCTCCAATTTCTTCCTCTCCTCTCCTCCAGTTTTTGTGACTCCACTCTTCGCATCACTAGTCTTTTCTTTTTGATTAAAAGGCTTTTTGAAAAACTTCTTAACTTTGTTGTTTGAATAGAATGCCACAGCTTCATCATCAGAGTTCATCAAAAATCCTTCAACATCTGAACCATCTTTTTCATTAACATCAACTTCTGACACGTTTGAAACAAGAGCCAAAGGACCTCCAATACTCTGTTTTGATTCTTCATACATTTCTGAAACTTCACTTTCATGTGTTTTCAGCTGATTGTAGAGATCATTCAAATGAGTTGTATCAAAACTCTGTTGATTCTTAATCATCATGCTTACACTTCGCAATTCCTTGCGAGGACCCATAATGAAAGTTAAATTGAACTCCATGAGAGACCTAGTGATTCCATACCTATTGCAGTGAAACATAAGCTCATTCAGACGATCATAGTAATTTTCAAGAGTTTCAGCATCCTTTTGTCTGAATTCTTTCAGTTCAACTAGACATTACTTCACAGAATTGATCTTTGTCTTTTCGCTACCTTGATACTTCTCTTTTAGAGTGTTCCAGATCTCCTTTGCTGTTTTACAACTACGAATGTAATTATAAACCACACGAGGAAGAGCAACTCTTAGTTCCCTCATGCACCTCTTTTCATTATTCTTCAACTGTTTTTGTTGATCAGCAACTTCAGTAGATGCAGTAGAAGTTCCAATTAGTTGAACATTAGCAGGAGCTTGCACTGTTCCATCGATACAATTCCAAAGTTATTCATCAATTCCATTTAAGTAATCTTCCATTCTATCAGCCCACTGATCATAGTATTCTGGAATTAACATCGGAATTTTGGTTGAGGAACCAAGCAAGTGAGAGAAGGAAGTCATTGTATTCATGTTGAAGTTCACCATTGATGAACACATAAATTTTCAGAAAGCTTGAAAACTTGATGAAATTGAGAATTGATCAATTGAATTGATCACAAATCACTGATCGATTACTCGACTAAACAATTCAAAGACATAATCAATTCAAATCTGAAGATCAAATTTGATTTTCAAAACCAAAATGCGCGGAAAATTTTGAGTAAAGTTGCAACTCAAAAAGCAAATGATTCTAACACGAAAATCAGATCGATGCAGTTTGAATCCTGCTCTGATACCAATTGAAGAGAATTGTTATCGAGATTTACGAAAGCAAATATGATTTGAGTGATTGAAAATTTAGAACATGAAGAGTATATATTAATCAGATCTTATATTGATGAAGACTGATTACAGAATAAGCAGAAAGGATATTTGTGTTTCCGGAAAAAAAAAAAAAAAAAAAAAAAAAACTTCTTTCTACTTCTATCCTCAGTCCTTATTTATAGGGAACATGAGTGTACAAAAAATATACTAAGTCTAAACATTACACTTCGCACAAAATTGACTTACTAAAATAACATAAAGATGCGAAACTATACAAACACAATATTCGACTTTTACAATTTTGCTTCTACACCTTTTCTATTTGAAAAAGAAGCCATACAAAGAAATTCATAAATCATATTTATTACATTGGCATTCAAAGAAACATACGGGTTTATTTTATTTGACTTGCTTATTTATCTTCAAAACCAAAAGATCCCGTGCAATCTAGCATATACTTTACAAAAATTTGCTTCAATTGGTTCTTGTTTCTAGAGAACCTAAATGGGATTTTTCAATTCATCCAACACCTAATGGGATTTTTCAATTCATCCTGCTCTGATACCAATTGAAGAGAATTGTTATTGAGATTTACGAAAGCAAATATGATTTGAGTGATTGAAAATTTAGAACATGAAGAGTATATATTAATCAGATCTTATATTGATGAAGACTGATTACAGAATAAGCAGAAAGGATATTTGTGTTTCCGGAAAAAAAAAAAAAAAAAAAAAAAAAAAAAAAAAAAAAAACTTCTTTCTACTTCTATCCTCAGTCCTTATTTATAGGGAACATGAGTGTACAAAAAATATACTAAGTCTAAACATTACACTTCGCACAAAATTGACTTACTAAAATAACATAAAGATGCGAAACTATACAAACACAATATTCGACTTTTACAATTTTGCTTCTACACCTTTTCTATTTGAAAAAGAAGCCATACAAAGAAATTCATAAATCATATTTATTACATTGGCATTCAAAGAAACATACGGGTCTATTTTATTTGACTTGCTTATTTATCTTCAAAACCAAAAGATCCCGTGCAATCTAGCATATACTTTACAAAAATTTGCTTCAATTGGTTCTTGTTTCTAGAGAACCTAAATGGGATTTTTCAATTCATCCAACACCTAATGGGTAGTGTAGAAGGAGCCAATCAAATGGAAGGTGAATGGACAGAAGCCAGGCGAAGAAAATGGAAGAGATTATCGATGATCGGAGACCGACCAACATGGAACCACGCTGGTGTTACAACAATGTTCGTATCAAACCTTCCAATGGAGATCCGTAAAAACTCCTTGGCGATGACTTTTGCAAAGTTTGGAGAGGTGGTGGATGTCTATATTCCAACAAAGAAGGATGTCAAGAAGAAGTATTTTGCTTTTGTAAGATTTAAAAAGATAACAGATGAATACAAGTTAGAAAAAGCCCTTCATGGGTTTAAATATGGTGGCAGACTTTGGACGTGAACATAGCGATGTTTGAAAGAAAATCGGCCGGAGGTTCGTCTGTATGTGGAAGCATCAGAAACAGGGCACAGAAGAAAAAACCTTCGATACCAGAATCCTAAGTTAGGAAGAATCGATCATGCGCAGCAGTAGTAGCAAAAGATCGTGAGACCACTCATATCCCACCTCCTCATCCACAAAAGCAAGTTGCTCCTATTTGTCTCTCAAACGACTCCCCACTTCGAGGATGGATTAAAGGTAAGTATACTTTAATTGGTGTATTACACAATTTTGATCACCTTGAGAAAGCTCCATACTCAATTAAAAACTGTGATGGATCTCGATGTGAAATAAAGTACCTTGGTGGATTAAGAATTGCAGTAAAATTCATGAATGATATGAGCAGAGAAGTATTCATGAAAGGATGGGTAGAATGGTTTAAGGAGATCGATAGTGGTGATATTGCAGAATTTCATTATGAGAGAATTGCTTGGATAAAAATCTTAGGCCTCCCGTCGGAGCTGTGGTCAGAAGCGAACTTCAACGCCATTGCTGCGACATATGGCTATATGGTGGTTCCATTCGTAGTGGAACAAAAAGAGATGAATTTATCTTAAGGAAAGGTTGGCATCCTAACAAAATCATTGACGGATGTACACTGTGAAGCATCGGTGGAAGTGAATGGAAAAATAATTAAAATAGGGATCTCAGAAGTGGACATCGACTGGGTTCCATTCAAGTCACAAAGGTATCAAGTGGAAGATAGTGATTTTTCAGATGATGGAAGGAACGACGAAGAAGATGAATTAGATGATGATTGCGATGGTATCTCTGAAACTATGTTGGCTGATAACAACGATGATCTGGAAGAAGGAGAAATCGGAAGGATGGATCTTGACCAGGTCGAGGAATTGAATCGAGGAAACTACAGAGCCGTCAACGACAACTCACCGGTGACAGTTTAGTTACCAGGAAACTTTTCAATGGATAAGAATAATCGGAGAATCGAAAGAGGTGCTCTTGGGGAATGTCGAGAGTCGGACGATGGAATTAATACTCAACAGGGAGACGAAACCTTTGGAAGTAGGGAGAACATTAATGAATCATCTCATGTTGAATTGGAAAATAATTTAACTGTATGTGAGGAAACAACTATCGGAGATGGACCGGATAAATCCTCTAATGGGCTGCTCAACAAATTGGCCAAATCTAGATACTTTGGACCTTTCATAAACAACATGCATGGTAACGAGGTGCCATTAAACGAGTCTGAGATTAACTTCAATAGTGCCCAAGATAAAAGAAGAAGATAAATGAGAAATGTAATGGCGATTGAATCTTCAAACTCTAATATGCCTCACCCATCTCTCGATCTAAACAGAACTCCGATTCTCTCTCAGATTCCTCTACCTGACACCAATGTAGAATCGTCATCTTCTCCATCGGAAATCAGTAATACGGTGGAAGTGGGCAATATTTTAGGATTCGAGATTGATAGCGAAAATCCAATCCTCAAAGAAGTCCTTGGCGATAACGGTGAGAACCAAATCATACAATGAATATTATGACCTTAAACATTAGAGGTATTGGAGAGAAGCATAAGGTAGATTGGGTACCAAGGCTTAGAAATTTATATAAACTTTGTATGATCTATATTCAAGAATCCAAGTTGGGTGAGTTATCCCCTCCACTAAATATTACCGAATGTTGGGGCGATAATAATTCGGGGTTCGAACAGGTTTTTACAACAGGAAGATCCGGTGGCTTGGTGTCGATATGGGATAAAGGAGCATTCACGTTAATAGACACTTTCAAGTCCAGATACTTTATTTTGACACTGGGTAATTTGGTAAGCATTAATGGCCTAACTGGCATTATAAACATCTATGGACCCCAATCAAGTCACGAGAAATCGAAACTGTGGGACAAATTGTTATCTTTCAAGTCTTCCATATCAGCCACCTGGATCCTTATGTGAGATTTTAATGTGGTTCGAAGACCGGAAGAACGGATAAATTCAGTCTTTTGCCCAGTCAGTGCAAGTGTTTTTAATCAATTCATTTACAGGGGCGAATTCACAGATCTAAAGATGGGAGGCCAAAGATTCACCTTCTTCAAAACACAAGGAGCGAAATTGAGTAAATTAGATATAATTTTGGTATGTAATCTTTTCTCAACCACGTTTCCCCTTGCGTCATGTGAGGCATTAGACAGGGACCTCTCCGACCACTCTCCAATTGTTTTGAGGACTCATGGTGAGGATTTTGGTCCACCACCATTCAAACTTTACAACTCCTGGATGTTAAAAGAAGGATTTGAAGAGGTGATCAAGAAAGCATGTTCCAAATTTGTGGGGTTTGGAACTCCTGATGCATACCTCTTGAATAAACTGAAACATTTAAAAAAAGCCATCAGTTGTTGGAGAATTAATGCAGTGAACAATGAAAACAAGTTGATTGATTCTTTAAAAAAAAAAGAATGAATGAGATCGAAAAAGAAGCAGAATCTAGAGCTCTAACATCCACATAAATGGAAGAAAGGTCAATTGGAGGTATAAAAATTACGGAGCACGCAAGAACTATTGCTCTGGATCTGAAGCAAAGGGCAAAAATTAAATGGGAGGTCGAGGGCGACGAAAACACGCGTTTTTTCATGGTTATGTAAACAACATAATCCGGAAAAATCATATACATGGGATTATGACGAATGGAATCTGGACAACCGACCCAGTCATGATAAAGCAGGAGGCTACTAGATTCTTCGAAAGGAAAATACATAGAATGTTGGCGAGTTAGACCTTTCTTTCGGAGTGAAGGTTTTAGTAAGTTTTCAGAAGAAGATACTCGGTACTTAGAAGGAGAATTCTCCATGGGTGAAGTAAAAAAATGCAATATGGTTGTGTGGTGGTGACGAGTCTCCGGGGCCTGATGGATTCACTTTCAAATTTCTCAAAAAATTCTGGGAGTTACTAAAAGGTGACATTATGGGGATGATTAAATACTTTGAAGCGGGAGGCAAGATCACTAGAGGATGTAATTCTTCTTTTATATCCTTAGCAGCCAAGACAAAAGATCCACTTCATTTTTGTGACTTTAGACCAATCAGCCTAATTGGTTCCATATACAAGATCATTGCAAAACTATTGGCTCTTCGATTAAAGAAAGTCATTTGTGGTGTAATTGACGAGGTCCAGTCCGCTTATGTTGAAGGAAGAAATATACTAGCCGGTCCTTTGGTGGTTAATGAGCTTTGTTCGTGGGCAAAATCAAAAGGAAGAAAGATGCTTCTGTTTAAAGCAGATTTTAACAAAGCTTTTGACTCAGTGAATTGGGTATATCTGGACTCAATTATGAATCAGATGGGTTTTGGAAATAAATGGAGATATTGGATTCGTAACTGTCTGGAATCGGGTCGAGCATCGGTGATTATTAATGGCAGCCCAACGGATGAATTCTCAATGACTAAAGGAGTTAGACAGGGCGACCCGCTTTCGCCCCTCTTATTCATCATTGCGATGGAAGGGCTGAATGTGGCGATGAAAACGACGGTTGAGAAAGGAGTCTTTGACGGAGTAAAATTCCCTAACTCTAATATCTGTTTGTCTGATGCTTTATTCATTGGTGAATGGTCGAGACGCAACATTGCCAATTTATCGAGAATCTTACAATGCTTTTACGTTTCATCCGGGCTGAAAGTTAACTTTAGCAAGTCCAGAGTGTTTGGTATAGGTGTATCTCCTAATGAAGTTTCGAACTGGTTAGCTCTTCTTGGATGAGAACCATCATCCCTGCCATTCATTTACTTGGGTATCCCTGTCGGCCAAAACATGAACCGAAAAAATGCTTGGAGACCAATCGTCGAAAAGTTTCATTCTAAACTCTCATTGTGGAAAGCAAAAACACTTAGCTTTGGAGGCAGATTAACTCTGGCAAAAGCAGTTCTTGGTAGTCTCCTGACCTACTATATGTCCATCTTTACCGTTCCTAACGGTATTATTGAGACCATTGAGAAAATTAGGAGGAGATTCATGTGGAGCAGCAACCTGGAAAGGAAAAGTATCAGTTGGGTGGCATGGGAAACACTTATGGCCCCTAAAAAGGTGGGTGGTACTGGACTTGGATCTATTAGGAGTCTCAACATTTCTCTACTAGCTAAATGGATGTGGCAATTGAAAAACGAGTATTCAGCACTTTGGGTGAAAGTTATACGTTGCATTCACGACCTGGATGGAAGAAATCGTGCTTCTTTTGTCAACAGATCTAGATCGGGGGTATGGAAAAATATAGTCAAAATCAGAATTGCGTTAAAAAAAATTCAATATTGATTTCAAATAAATTTTATATTGGAAACCAAATGATGATTGTTGGGATTCCGACTTTGTGGTTGATAACCATTTTTCGGTAAGATTGTTACGTGAGCGGATTGAAATGGCGAGTCACATTGTCTGTGATAGTCCATTTGAATGGTGCAAAGTAATACCGAATAAAATTTTATGCTTTATCTAGAGAGCGAAACTTGGCAGAATTCCATCATCTATTTCATTAAAAGCAAGGGGTGTTCCTGTGTCATCGACTATTTGCGGGTCATGCAACATGGATGAAGATACGTGCGATCACATCCTTCTCTTGTGCCCAGTGGCGAAGGTCGTCATGAACTCGATTTTATCTTGGTGTGAAATTTCACATGATGGATTTTATTCGGTTAAAGACATGTTACTATTCATATCTCGGTGGTCTAAAAGCAAAAAGAAAAGAAGCATGTTGAATACGATCTTATATGGAGGATTATGGTGTATATGGAATGACAGGAACCACATGGTTTTCAGGAACATCCCTATCGTACCGGAGAAGACAGTGGAGAAAATCAAATCAATAACTTTTGTATGGTGTAAACATAGGGGTTCATTTAAAAACATGGATTGGAGAGTTTGGAATCTCGGTTCGTTTTTCTGTTTGTAACTTTTTCTCTTGTTCTTTTCTCCTTTTCTGTTTCTTTTTATACTTCCTCCTTGCATCGTCTTGATGTAAGGTGTCTGCTTTTAATATATTTGTCGTTTCCAAAAAAAAAAATAGTAAAAAGAACTCGTAAATAGAAAGCCAACTATTATTGCAAGTTTCAAAACGTTCAATACTTTACTTTAATTACTGTTCAAATAAAAATAGTTGAATATTTCATAAAAGATTACGAAAAGACACCTGTAAAAATACGGGCATGATACATTTGGACAGTGAAAAGCTCCACCATTAAGTTCATTAGTGGAGTGTTATGGAGTTTTCTATAAATAGGGTAAAATGAATCTTTTCAAAAATAGGTTACTTTTTATTACTCTTTCAAAAATGAGGTATTTTTACGGCCCCACCATCAAAATTGCGGTTGTTTTTTACAATTTCCAATTTTAACCTTTTTAAATTACAACTTTCACCATTAAACTTATATGATATTTTCAGTTTACACCTTTCAATTTTAAAAAGTTGATTTTTTTTTATATCCACTGTATAATATATATGATTAAAATTTATATATTTTATGCCATTCTCAGAATCTCATTGATACCAATATCAAATATGTTACAATGACATAAAAATAAAAAATCGATTAAACATGATATTATACGAAAAAACTAACATGAAATTACAAAAGAAATACAAGCTAAATCGAATTGGAACTCACAAGATTGATTTAAAAAAAAAAAAAAAAAAAAAAAAAAAAAAAAAAAAAAACAAAACTAGAAATCTTATGGGCTAAATTGATACAAATCGAATAGTTTGACAAAAAATATGATATTTGTCAAACAACAATTATCATTTATGAAATTAGTCTAAAATAAATAAATGTATATATTTTGATTTATTAAGTAGACATGTAAATAAATAAATATAAGTACAATTAGATTATAAATACTAGAGTATAATCTAAAACAATTAAACACATAATCAAAGAACCAAGAAAACAAACTATCATTGTATATAGAAAAATGCAAGATCCTCCTATCTGATATTGCTACTCATCCTCTTATTTATGTTAAACCGTGATAAATATTAAATTTAATAAATTTACTAGTGTCACACCCTCAAACCAAGATGGCGGAAATGGCTGGGAGTTGATGACTTTCATGAACAATATCACAACATAATTTATAATAGTTATAAAAGCAAACACAACCATCATAAATATAATTGAGAATATTACATTGTTTCCAAGTATTGTATGTTCAAACCAATTACATTATGATGAAAAAATAAATAGAACGGCGTTGTAACATTCCATCCTCAAAAGCCTTGTGATTACTTGTTTAACGGTTTCCTGAGAATAC